TGTTTTGACCCAACACCATCTCAAACAGAAACTTCTTCAAACAGTGTGGAATGGAACACTCTGCTACCATCCTGATGAGGAGGAACTGGAGGTGGATTAACCATGTCACCTGCTAAGAAGCCTCCATTGATAAAATCACCCCACATGCCACCCTGCATATTAGGCATGAGTCAGTAAGTTTGTGTGTATTAAACAAAAACTTGACTAATAGTCACCAACCCGTTGTGGAACCAACAATGCCTGTGTTTTGATCCACAGCTTCCAAGAACTGGCCAATAACCAGAGGTACAGACTGGATTCGTTTCACTTCTTCTTGCGCATGGAGTAGTTCCTTCTTCAGATTCTTCTGTTCATCTTTGATGTATTCTTCCTGGACTTTTAAAAATTCAAGTTGCTTTTGAAGCTTCTTATATTTTGTGTAAAGATCATCGACATCTGGGTCAACAGTTGAAAGCGAACTGCTAACAGCTGTTGCAGGTCGACTTGAATCCTAAACAAGAGGAAAAAATGAACAAATAAATGAGGCCCTCCCCAGGGTCTTAGGGAACAAGGTAATGTGATAATTTATTTCAAGGGAACAAGGGATATTTTGGGGATTGATTTGAGTGAACAAGGGATATTCCTATTATTAAAGGGAACTTTGGAAAAAAAGTTTTGGGGAACAGTGGAGATTGATAAAAGGCAACAAGGGAAAGAAAGTGACATTTTCAAGGGATGAAAGGGAACATGCTCTCCTCTCACTTCCCCCTCCCCTCCCCTAAGAGGTCCACATTAAGCGGAATAGAAGTGGCACATCCCTGGAGTGTCTCCTAGTCCACCATTTCCAGAACAAATTGGAATATAAAGAGTTTGGTGCTGCACGAAAAAGGAAAACAGGAGAACCCCAACAAAAATGCTAGAAGCAAGGATAACAACAAACTTAACCTACAAATTATACAGGGTCTAGGATTCAAACCCAGGCCACACTGTTGGAGTAGCAGGTGCTAATGGGCAAAGGATTAGTAGTATTTTAGAGGTGACTTCTCTGTCAGTTCCTAAAGACAGTCAAAAGTTTAACTTGAGATAAGAAAGATCCTGGTGACAATTTGGCAAGAACTTGATTATTACAGGACTTCATTGTATGAAACTTAAAACAATTTTAATCAAACTTAGTTTAGACTGAAAATTTAGGTTTCAATATTAAACATGTGACCACACTAACAAGCACATGAAACAAATTCATTGTTGGCCTCAATCAATAAGGCAAAGGTTTCTAGTCTAAGACTTATCTTATCTAGTAATCTAATCTACTCTAGCACAAAGAAATCTCCACGGACAAATAATCTTAAACACTATTTTTT